TGGGAAGAATAATTTCGTTTTATTGTGCCGAATAATGAAATGGGAGAAAAGACTTGGCAGAGACTAGTTAGGATATCCTTAAAACAGAGGCACGTAAACTTTTTTTGAATCTTGGACCCCTTTGAAAATCTAATGAAAGTTATGGTTCTTTCTCCAGAAAAAATACATTTATGTACTTGCCCACAAAATTTTGTGTTCAATTTTAGCAGGTCTGCAGATCCTCAGTACTGCCAAAATATTCACAAAGGAAATAAAATAGCCCATAAATATATGAGGAAATGCTCAAGCTAACATAATGAAATAAATAAAAATTGTTAGCCAGGAATGGTGGCACATGCCTGTAACCCCAGCTTCTCTGGAGGCTGAGGCAGGAGAATTGCTTCAATCTGGGAAGCGGAGGTTGCAGTGAGCCAAGATCACACCGTTGTGCTCTATCTTGGTTAACAAGAGCAAAACTCTGTCTCAAAAAGAAAAATAAAAAATAAAATAAAATTACAGCATGGAAGAGGTACCATTTTTCACCCACCAAATTGGCAAAATCAAAGTTATCACATCTTATATTGGGAATGATGTGGGTGAATGAGTTACATTTCACACTGTTACATACATTTGGTAGAGCCTTATGTGCGTTGGGATTACAGACATGTGCCACCACGCATTTGCTCACCCAGGCTTGGGTGCAGTGGCACAATCATGGCTCACTGTAGCCCCAGCCTCCCCAGGTTCAGGTGGTCCTCCCACCTCAGCCTCCCTAGTAGCTAGACATGCAAGCAAATGCCACCACACCTGGCTAAGTTTTTTGTTTGTTTGTTTGGAGACAGAGTCTCACTGTGTCAACCAGGCTGGAGTACAGTGGCGTGATCTTGGCTCACTACAACCTCTACCTCCTGGGTTCAAGCGATTCTCCTTCCTCAGCCTCCCAAATAGCTGTGACTACAGGTGCTTGCCACCACACCTGGCTATTTTTTTTTTTTTTTTTTAGTACAGACAGGGTTTCGCCATGTTAGCCTGTTAGCCGGGATAGTCTCGATCTTCTGACCTCGTGATCTGCCTGACTCGGCCTCCCAAAATGATGGGATTACAGGTGTGAGTCACCATGCTCAGCCATGGTAGAGCCTTTTAAGAGAACAATTTGACAATTTATCAAAATGTATAATGTACAAACCCTATGATCTGACTTTGCTTTTTTTTTTCTTTTTTTTTTTTTTTTTTTGAGACAAAGTCTTGCTGTGTCACTAGGCTGGAGTGCAGTGGTGTGATCTGGCTCACTGCAGCCTCCGCCTTCCGGGTTCAAGCGATTTTCCTGCCTCAGCCTCCCAAGTAGCTGAGACTGCAGGTGCATGCCACCACGCCCAGCTAATTTTTGTATTTTTAGTAGACATGGAGTTTCACCATGTTGGCCAGGCTGGTCTTGAACTCCTGACCTCACCATCCACCTGCCTTGGCCTCCCAAAGTGCTGGCATTACAGGCGTGAGCCACCATGCCCAGGCTGGCATTGCATATTGTCTGCCATATTGAAATACTAGCTTAGGTCCATAAGATGTTTGTATAAGGATGTTCATTGCATTATTGTATGAAATAGCAGAGAAAATTGGAAACCTAAAACTTAACAGCAGGAGAAAAGATTCTTTAAAAGTAGGATATGCCCTTTAAAAAGAATGAAGTAAACATATGTATATATGTGTATATATATATATATATACACACACATACTCATTTAGAAAGAATATTGTTAAGTAATAAAGTTACATGGGCATTACATACATTATCCTGTTTTGGTTTAAAAATAAATTAAAACTATATATGTATAAATACATACACATAGTTACTCATCTATATGCGTGTTTTAGAAGAGACTTTTCCTCCCAGAGAGATGACAGAAGATACCTGTGTTCCAAAGTAGGTGCAGCAACCCTCACCTACATCTCCGTGAGCATAGGAAATGGCCTCATGAACCTCATGTCTCGGCCAGCAAGAACAAGGCTGTAAGAAAGATCTGAGTGAGGCCAGGTGTGGTGGCTCACACCTGCAATCCCAGCACTTCAGGAGGCTGAGGTAGGGGGATCACTTGAGGTCAGGAGCTCAAGACCAGCCTGGCCAACATTGTGAAACTCCCTGTCTTTACTAAAAATATAAAAAGTAGCTGGGTGTGATGGCAAGTACCTGTAATCTCGACTACTTGGGAGGCTGAGATGGGAGAATCACTTGAACCCAGGAAGCAAAGTTTGCAGTGAGCTGAGATCACACCACTGCACTCCAGCCTGCGCAACAGAGCGAAACTCTGTCTCAAAAAAAAAAAGAGAGAGAGAGATCTGAGAGGGACTTCTGTGAGGAGATTGGTAAAGGGCAGAAAACCAGGTTGTAAATTCCTAACCCCCTTTTACGGGAAGAGGTAGAAGGACACATACAGTGGGTTGAGCCAAGGTGGACTGGTCAAAATCCTCCCCTCCCAGTTTTCCCATGGCAGGTCCTGGCATAATTATTGATGATACTGCCGTTTACCGTCAAGTGTCCCAGTTAAGACAATAATTGTCTGGTTACCCAGCTTCAAGGAAACTACTCTGGCAACTGCAAGGTGTGTTTTCTGTGGCTGAACAGTGAAGACTGGCGTGGGCCTCATGTCTAAGAAAACTGAAGCTGACCGGCTCAGAAAGCCCAAGACCAGGAGGAGGTGACTTAAATGGCCTTTGTGGGTCAGCCAGGGGAAGCTGTTGAATTGGGATGAGTCTGTACTGCCCAGCTTCGTTGGGCAAGGTGTCATAAGGGCTTCCTGTGGGTCAGCCAGCGTGGTCCCGGAGCTTGTCAAATATGATGCATGCCCAAAGTAGAGACATATCTGTCCAGCTCATGGAAACCACAACGGGGGGAGCAAGAACCTCCCAGAAGTAGTAAAAGTTCCCAAAATGAGTCCAGTTTAACTATTTGCCAAGCTAAGAATGTGAAGCCACTCAACCACACAAACAGTCCTTTCTCTTAATCTCTCCTCCCTCCACACAGTCCCTAATCCCTAACTCTTGTATGATAGAAACTAAACTATAGTGAGAGGGCTGGGTGCGGTGGCTCATGCCTGTAATCCCAGCATTTGGGGAGGCCAAGGTGGGTGGGTTGCCTAAGCTCAGGAGTTTGAGCAGCCTGACCAACATGGCAAAACCCTGTCTCTACTAAAACTACAAAAAATTACCCAGGTGTGCTGGTGCATGCCTGTCGTCCCAGTACCCAGGAAGCTGAGGCATGAGAATCACTTGAACCCAGAAGGCTGAGGTTGCAGTGAGCCGAGATCACACCACTGCACTCCTGCTTGGGCACAGAGCAAGACTCTGTCTCCAAAGAAAGTAAAAATAAAAATAAATTACAGGACTGAGTAAGGGAAGGGGTGAGCCGGGAAGCAGTTAAGCAGGGAAGAAGCAAGAGAGTGGAGGTAAAAGGAAGAGCCTCGGGGAGAGGGAGAGTGAGGGAGCAGCTCAAGCAGGGAGAAAGGAAGAACACGACCCTTTCTGTAACCGTCCCGGGGGAAGGGAAGGGAATTACTTTAGGGGTTTTGACTGTTACCCAGGACTGAGCATTTTAATTATTGAGTAAATACTATGTTTGTGACAATGAAAGAGTAGGAAGATCTGTTACCTAAGAATCAAGTGGAGGCTGGGCATGGTGGCTCACACCTGTAATCCCAGCACTTTGGGAAGCCAAGGCAGGAGAATCACTTGAGCCCAGGAATTCCAGACCAGCCTGGGAAACATAGTGAGACCCTGTCTCTAAAAAAAAAATCAAACAGTTAGGCATGGTGGCACACATCTATAATCTGAGCTAGTTGAGGAGCCAAAGTGGGAAGATTACTTCAGACTGGGAGGTGGCAGCAGGGAGCTATGATCGTGCCACTACACTCCAGCCTGGGTGACAGATTGAGATACTTTCTCAAAAAATAAGAAGAGGCTGGGTGCAGTGGCTCACACCTGTAATCCCAGCACTTTGGAAGGCCGAGGCAGCTGGATCACCTGAGGTCAGGAGTTCGAGACCAGCCTGGCCAACATGGTGAAACACCATCTCTACTAAAAATACAAAAATTAGCTGGGCATGGTGGCGCATGCCTGTAATCCCAGCTACTCAGGAGGCTGAGGCAGGAGAATCACTTGAACACAAGAGGTGGAGGTTGTGGTGAGCCAGGATCACGCCACTGCACTCCAGTCTGGGTGATAGAACGAGACTCCATCTCAAAAAAAAAAAAAAAAAAAAAAAAATTAAGGAGAAAGCCATAGAATCTGTTCAGGTCTTCATCTAGAAGCACAGGAAGAATACCTCCGCTTACTAAAGGTTAAAGAAGTTGTGGGAAACTAAAATGAAATTTTAAAATCATAATCCATAAGTCATGCTTGTCCAAAATATGGTATTTATATATACCTGTGTGAGCACAGGGAAAATCTGACAAAATAGGCTCCGAATTATTTACAAGGATTTTCTCTAGCGGGTGGAATTCTTTGTTTACACATTCTCACATTATTTGAATATGTTTCTATCAGCAAGTATTAGTATTATCATTTTAAACAAAAGATAAAAATAGGAAGAAATACTTTTTAAATGAACAAGTAGCTGGCATTACGATTGAGTCATCTGTATATGAGGGTTTATAAGGGCCTGGCCTCAGACCTGTTTTCTCTAATTAATCATTCCTCTGTCTCCCACTACTGAACAGAGACTTTTCTCTGATACATCTTATTCTCCTGTCCATCCGCTGTCAACCACAGATACTCCTGGATGACCTCTTCTTTCTACGGTTACCGCACATATTTAAAATCTCCCCCTGCTCCTTGCTTGTGATTTTTCATAGTCTTTCCCTTTGCGATGCGGCCACGGTGGAAAACTCAATGCCACGTACGCCTTGTACACATTATTGTCAGTTTTATTTGGTAATTTGCTGTGCAACAATTTCTTTTACTCTTCTTTTTCAAAGCATGGAGAACATGAGAATATTGGAAAGTATTTGTATGTTTTGAATTTGTTTTAGATGGAGAAAACAGACCCGAAATCAAAAAGTCAACCACAAGCCAGAATATTTCTGATGAACATCAAACCCAGGAGATGATAATGGAGAGACTCACAGGAGACAGCTTCTGGTACTCCATCCTAGGAGGACTCTGGGATTTTGATTACCATCCAGAGTTTAACCAAGAAGACCAGCAGAGATATTTAGGACAAATAACTTTGAACCACAAAAAGATCACACAGCAGAGAAACCTTGAGCGTAACATGTTTGCAGAAAACTGTAATCTGAGCTCAACCCTTAGGCATCAGAGAATTCCTTCCATTAAAATACCCCTGAATTCTGACCCACAGGGAAACAGCATCAAACATAATTCAGACTTGATTTACTATCAGGGAAATTATGCAAGAGAGACTCCCTATGAATACAATGAGTGTGGAAAAATCTTCAATCAACACATTCTTCTTACTGATCACATTCGTACTGCAGAGAAACCCAGGGAGTATGGGAAGGCCTTCAGCCACAACTCGTCTCTTTCCCAGCCTCAGATGGCGCTTACAGGAGAGAAGCCCTATAAGTGTGATGAATGTGAAAAAAGATTCAGCCAGAGGATACATCTCATTCAACATCAGAGAATTCACACGGGAGAAAAGCCCTTTATATGCAATGGATGTGGGAAAGCCTTCCGTCAGCATTCATCCTTCACTCAGCATCTGAGGATTCATACGGGAGAAAAGCCCTATAAATGTAATCAATGTGGTAAAGCCTTTAGCCGTATCACGTCCCTTACTGAACATCATAGACTTCATACTGGAGAGAAACCTTATGAATGCCGTTTCTGTGGCAAAGCCTTCAGCCAGAGGACACATCTGAATCAACACGAAAGAACTCATACAGGAGAGAAACCCTATAAATGTAATGAATGTGGGAAAGCCTTTAGCCAGAGCGCGCACCTTAATCAACACAGGAAAATCCATACTCGGGAGAAATTATGTGAATATAAATGTGAGCAAACCTTAAGCCACAGTCCGTCACTTAGCAGCACATAACTCATGGTGGGGGAAATCATGTAAATATATAAATGTGGGAAATTTTTGGTCAGACATTTTTATCCCATTCAATATCAAATTATTCATAGTGGAGAGAAAGCTTCTACATAAACTTTTGTTTTTTTGAGACAGAGTCTCACTCTACCCTGGCTGCAGTGCAGTGTCATGATCTTGGCTCCCTGCAACCTCCGCCTCCTGGATTCAAGCAATTCTCCTGCCTCAGCCTCCCGAGCAGCTGGGGCCACAGGCACACGCCATCATGCCTGGATAATTTTTTGTATTTTTAGTAGAGACAGTGTTTTACCATGTTGGCCAGGCTGGTCTCGAACTCCTAACCTCAGGTGATTTACCCACCTCAGCCTCCCAAAGTGCTGGGATTACAGGCATGAGCCACTGCACCTGGCCATAAACTTTCAATGCATTTCAAACCAAATTAAGTTAAACCTTAAACTAGCAGCATATCACATTCCCAGGAGGGATTATAAAAGGGAAAGTAATTTATTTGACAAATGAGATTATATTTGGAGGCATGTTCCAAATCTGATATAAAACTTTAAAAGAAATCAGAAATCCTTGTCCAGGCATGGTGTTGCACACCTGCAATCCCAGCTACTCTGGAGACTGAGGCATGAGAATGGCTTGAACATGGGAGGCGGAGGTTGCAGTGAGCTGAGATCACGCCACTGCACTCCAGCCTGGGCAACAGAGCAAGACTCTGTCTCAAAAAGAAAAGAAAAGAAAAGAAAAGAAAAATCCTGTAGGCAACAACCTGTAATTACCGTAATTACTCACCTGTAAGTTTTATGGTGTAAAACTTTTAAATCAGAAATTTTTATTAATTAAAGGCAGTGCTGGCTGTATGTGATTGCCCACGCCTGTAATCCCAGCACTTTAGGAGGCCAAGGTGGATAATGACCTGAGGTCAGGAGTTCAAGACCAGCCTGGCCAACATGGTGAAACCCCATCTCTACTAAAAATTCAAAAATTAGCCGGGTGTGGTGCCACACGCCTTTAGTCCCAGCTACTGAGGAGGCTGAGGCAGGAGAATTGTTGGAACCTGGGAGGGAAGGTTACAGAGTGTCAGGATCACTCCACTCCAGCCTGGGCGGCAGACTGAGACTCTGTCTCTAAATAAATAAATAAAATTTAAAAGTAAAGGCAATTCTCTAGTGCAGCCAGTCACGTTAACTTGAAATAAACATAAAAGAGCAATATTTCACTAATATCAGTTATCTGTATGCTTTCTTTACAGTTTTTACCATATATAGTATTTACTTAATATTCTTTATAAAGGGATCCATGATTTTTAACCTTCTAGGAAATACTATTTAGCATATAAAACTAATAAGTTATATGCTAGTTTTATCTGCTAATTATTCTACTTTTCATCAAAATAGATACATAACTCTGAAATTAAAAATATTCATTGTTGTACCACCCAAAATCTTGTAGCCGTTGTGTGAGTAACAGTGTGGTAGTTTGTGGCAATATGCTGTGATGGTTCTGTTTGCAATCTTGGCGTTGTTTTCTTCCTGCGCACCCTGGGATCACTTTGAGAAAAGCCTTGAAGGAGACTTGAGGGTCCTATTGAGGAACTTTGAAATACTGATTCGGAGAAGTCTGCCTTTCTCTTTTGTTTTCATTTTAAATTTCCCTGTGGCAAGCCTAGATTTTTTCAGTTAAAATTATTTCTGCTGTGTTTGCAGAGTAGAAGTTTTGGGTGTTTGTAAAATAATGACAGAGGTTAAGAATCCCCATGCCATCCCGTACCACTGTGGAAGATGCAGGAGTGAGGAGCTGTAGCTGCAGGTGAGCCATGGCGCCATGTTGGGAGTGGGAATCGGGAGAGCTCAGTTATGTAAACACCTAAAGAAGTTAGGCCGGGAGCAGTGGCTCATGCCTGTAATTCCAGCACTTTGGAAGGCCGAGGCGGGCAGATCACAAGGTCAAGAGATCGAGACCATCCTGGCCAACAGGGTGAAATCCCGTCTCTACTAAAAAATGCAAAAATTAGCTGGGCGTGGCGGCACACACCTGTAGTCTCAGCTACTCGGGAGACTGAGACAGGAGAATTGCATGAACCCAGGAGGCAGAGTTTGCAGTGAACCGAGATGGTGCCACTGCACTCCAGCCTGGGGCCTGGTGACAGAGCAAGACTCTGTTTCAAAAAAAAAAAAAAAGTAGTCTAATTGGCTTAATCGCTTATTTTATTTATTGAAATATATATCTGGGCCGTGTGCTGTGGCTCTTGCCTGTAATCCAGCACTTTGGGAGGCCGAGGCAGGTGGATTACTTAAGGTCAGGAGTTTGAGACCATCCTGGCCAACATGGTGAGACCCTGTCTCTACTAAAAATACAAAAAGTAGCTGAGCGTGGTGGCACGCACCTGTAATCCCAGCTACTTGGGAGGCTGAGACAGGAGAATTGCTTAAACCTGGGAGACAAAGGTTGTGGTGAGCTGAGATTGCACCACTGCATTCCAGCCTGGATGATAGAACGAGTGTCCATCTCAAAAAAAAAAGAAAAAGAAATATGTATCTGTAACACTTTTTTTCAAAAAGAATTCATATTAGTTTGTTTGCATTGCTCTAAGGGAATACCTGAAACCAGGTAGTTTATAAAGAAAAGAAGCTTTATTTGTCTCACAGTCCTGCAGGCTGTCCAGGAAGCATGGTGCTGGTGTCTGCTTCTGTGGATGGCCTTAGAAAACTTCCAGTTATGGCAGAAGGTGAATGGGAGCCAGCATATTACATGGAGGAGAGTGGCAGGAGAGAGACAGGGGAGGTTGCCAGCTGCTAAACCCTCAGCTCTCACATGAACTACCAGAGCAAGAATTCATTCAGTGACACAGGGAGGACACTAAGACATTCATGATGGATCCGCCCCCACGGCCCAAACGCCTCCCACCAGGCCCCACCTCCAACACTGGGGATCACACTTCAACCTGAGATTGGAAGAGACAGATATCCAAAGTGTAATATATCAGAAACTAAGGTGATTTCATTTAATTTTTATGATTGCTGCCTTGTTGGACGAAGTCACATTTGATGTTTTTGTTTGTTTGTTTGAGATGGAATCAGGCTCTGTCGCCCAGGCTGAAGTGCAGTGGCGCATTCTTGGCTCACTGCAACCTCTGCCTCCTAGGTTCAAGCAATTCTCTTCTCTCAGCCTCCTGAGTAGCTGGGAATACAGGTGTGCACCACCACCCCCTGGCTAATTTTTGTGTTTTTACTAGAGTTGGGGTTTCACTATGTTGGTCAGGCTGGTGTCAAACTCCTAACCTCAAACTCCACCTGCCTCAGCCTCCCAAAATGCTGAGATTACAGGTGTGAGCCACTGTGCCCAGCCCCACATTTGATGTTGAAAGCATTCTAAATGGAAACCGTCGGCTGGGCGCGGTGGCTCAAGCCTGTAATCCCAGCACTTTGGGAGGCCGAGGCGGGTGGATCACGAGGTCAAGAGATCGAGACCATCCTGGTCAACATAGTGAAACCCCGTCTCTACTAAAAAAAAATACAAAACATCAGCTGGGCATGGTGGCGCGTGCCTGTAATCCCAGCTACTCAGGAGGTTGAGGCAGGAGAATTGTCTGAACCCAGGAGGCAGAGGTTGCCGTGAGCCGAGATCGCGCCATTGCACTCCAGCCTGGGTAACAAGAGTGAAACTCCGTCTCGGGGAAAAAAAAAAAAAGGAAACCGTCATAAACCATGAATAGCTGCAAGTATAGAGACACTTCAGTTTCTCAGTTTTCAGGTTTCATCTGTCTTCTCAGGCATGGCTGAAGAAACCATAAGGTTAAGTTAGGAGTGTAGCCCTCTTGCTTTCTCACCTTTATTCTAACTTGACCCTGGCTTAAGAGTTCCCTGACTTCTTCTCCCTGAGAAAGGACTGGATTTTATAGACCCTGAGTCAAAGCTGAAATGATTTAAAGACTTTAAAAAATGAAAATACTAACCCCGGCCGGGCGTGGTGGCTCAAGCCTGTAATCCCAGCACTTTGGGAGGCCGAGGCGGGTGGATCACGAGGTCAAGAGATTGAGACCATCCTGGTCAACATGGTGAAACCCCGTCTCTACTAAAAATACCAAAAAAATTAGCTGGGCATGGTGGTGCGTGCCTGTAATCCCAGCTACTCAGGAGGCTGAGGCAGGAGAATTGCCTGAACCCAGGAGGCGGAGATTGCGGTGAGCCGAGATCGCGCCATTGCACTCCAGTCTGGGTAACAAGAGTGAAACTCCGTCTCAAAAAAAAAAAAAAAAAAAAAAAGAAAATACTAACCCCTCCCAAAAAAGCTAATTTCATTGTAGAAATTAAACTTTCAAAGAGCATTTTCATCCCATGTAATAGTAGGTATGAAATAGTTAATAAAACCTTGAGTTACTGTAGTCAGGGAGGATTGGTAATAGTAAGTTGTTCAAACTTCTGTGCAGTAGAGATGGATTTTCAGGGCAAATTAATTCTGGAAGCATCCTTGCCCAAAAAAGCCACATTTAACATTCACTTGCCATAATGAGACAGGGTGTCAGGCACTGAGATTTCAGGAAGGGAGAGAGTGAGCAAAGGTGAGGTCTCAGAGAACAGAGGTATGTACTTTTTAAAAGTAACAGTTAATCACACTCAGTAAAATCTTTGATCAAAGCTTAATTTTGCAACCAGGAAAAAAATTTTTGCAAAGAGTTCTAAAGCCTCTAGTACAAGGCAGTGTATCTGTATCACAGCACAGGTGAAAAACAAGAGCAAGATAGAATTCTCAGAAGACGATCAGCAGAACTTGGACATCCCAGAAAAAAAGGTGTCTGGACTGAACCTGACCACAGTTGGCCAAGAACTTTTACCCATTCTTCATATGTAGGAACTGTACATTAGAATCTTATTATATGTTCCTTAGGGTCATAAATGATTCTGTTTATATTAATTGTACACTAAACTTGGTGCACATTCATTCTCATGCTGTCCTTCGTTCTGTTCAAAATGTTCCGAGTTAAGGAGTGAAGCCTAAATATGTTCATTAAATCAAAATATTGGTATTCCCAGAGTACGGGAGCCAGAGGCATACACAGTGCAATACTTGTTTGTTGTGACTTGTTTCTATCTATCTAGGAGAGTAATACATTACCCTTTCACATATACAGTAGTAGTTTCCTCAGTCCATCCAACCAGGTGTTATTGTCCTTCTTCTATGAGAAGAGATACTTAAGCTACACATAGTTGTAGGTGGCTTACTATTTAGGGTTTCTCTGACTGAAATGTCACTATAACATCAGTCATTTTACTCCTAATCCAGTAGATACAAACAGTGCCTGGAACAGTCTTTTATAACACTCTGAAAATATTTGGTCAATATATGAACTTTAATAAAAGGAAAGATTGCTGCTTAACACCAAGATCTGTGTGACGATTTCTCATAGGCTCAGAGTGTTAGTAAAGGATTGTCCTGTTGATTGATTCCTTATGTCCAAAGAACTTGGTAGCATGGAGGAAAATACTGATAGGATTTGGCTTTGTGTCCCCACCCAAATCTCCTCTCAAATTGTAATTCCCATGTGTCAAGAGAGAAATCCAGTGGGAGGTGATTCAGTCATGGGAGCATTTTCCCCTGTGCTGTTCTTGTGATAATGAGTGAGTTCTCATGAGATCTGATGGTTTTATAATGGACTCCTCCCCCTTCACTCACTCACACTCTCTCTTGCCTGCCACCATGTAAGACATGCCTGTTTCCTCTTTTGCTATGATTGTAAGTTTCCTAAGGCCTCCCCAGCCATGTGAAATTGTGAGTCAGTTAAACCTCTTTCCTTTATAAATTACCCAATCTTGAGTATTTCTATATAGCAGTGTGAATGGAGACTAATACAAATACTCATTAGAATTTGTATTTTGATTAATGTTCAATGTGTTTTTTTTTAAGAGAGTCTCACTATGATCCCCAGGCTAGAATCAGACTCTTAGGCCCAAGTGATCCCCCTGCCTCAGCCTCCCAAAGTGCTGAGATTACAGGCATGAGGTACGACACCTAGCCCTGTGTATTTATTTAAGAAACCAATTGATGCTCTTTTTTTATTTTGTTCTCTGAGATGGAGTTTCACTCTTGTTGCCCAGACTGGAGTGCAATGGCATGATCTCAGCTCACTGCAACCACCACCTCCCAGGTTCAAGTGATTCTCTTGCCTCAGCCTCCCAAGTAGCTGATATTACAGGCAGGTGCCACCATGCCCAGCTAATTTTTGTGTTTTTAGTAGAGACTGGTTTTGCCGTGTTGGCCAGGCTGGTCTCCAACTCCTGACCTCATGATCCGCCCACCTCAGCCTCCCAAAGTGCTGGGATTACAGGCATGAGCCACCGTGCCCAGCCTGACATTCTTTAAACAGTCAGCATTCCTCTACTTATTCAGACATTTGCAATCAATAAATAAAAATTAAGAATTTCTAAAATTGGGCCGGGCGCGGTGGCTCAAGCCTGTAATCCCAGCACTTTGGGAGGCCGAGGCGGGTGGATCACGAGGTCAAGAGATCGAGACCATCCTGGTCAACATGGTGAAACCCTGTCTCTACTAAAAATACAAAAAATTAGCTGGGCATGGTGGTGCGTGCCTGTAATCCCAGCTACTCAGGAGGCTGAGGCAGGAGAATTGCCTGAACCCAGGAGGCAGAGGTTGCGGTGAGCCGAGATCGC